TCCTTGATTTTCAGACTCCATGAAGACCTATCACCTAAGCAGTGAGCACCTTTCCTTTCAACATGCGTCCATTTGTAAGCCGTGTGTTATGTTATTACCACTTCAGCTACAATCTACCAATGTCCTCTTTTTTTCAAAGACTTTCTAATTAAAACCCAACTGAAAGCCTGGCAGTGGCCTACAGCTTTCATCCCAGCACTCAGGAGAGGCACTGGCAGGCAGATTTCTCTGAGTTCAAGGGTAGCCTGGTCTATATAGTGAGTTCCGGGATAACCAGAGGTACACAGTGAGACCTTATCTTGGAGGGAAAAAAAAAAAATCAACTGAAGTTATTTTCTCAGGCAGGAGAAAAAATGTTCCATGTGTCAATCAGCTCCAACTCACAACCAAGCACACACATTTTATACAGAGTAAATATTTATTAATTCATGTTAATTTTATATTCGATCAGTATTTGCAGAGCATCTACTATGTCCCAAGAAGGGCTTTTGGAACTAGGCACAAAACAAACAAGCAGAGCATGCCAGTGCCTGTAGCCCCAGTTAGTCAGAGTCTAAAGCAGAAAGACAGTAGTAACCTAGTTCAAGGGCCATCCTGAGCAATAGAGCAAGAACCCTTCTCAAGACAGAAAAGTGGGAGAGAGAGAAGATAAAGAAGCTGGACACGGTGGCTCATACCTAGAATTCCAGCACTTGGGGGGCTGGGACAGGGGGAAAGCCCTGAGTTCTAGGCTCTGTCCTAAGTACCAAATCAGCCTGGGCTACAGAAGGAAACCTGTCTCAAAAAACCAAAGAGCTGGGAGAGTATCCTTGCAAGCATGAGGTCCTGTGTTTAAACACCAGCCCTGAAAGAGGAGGAACAAAAGAGCCTGACCTAATGCCTGATATGCAGTGGGCATCAAAGAATGTTACAACTGAACACTGGTTCTGAACCTTCCTAATGTTTCGACTCTTTAATTCCTCATGTTGTGCTGACCCCCAACCATAAAATTATTTTTGTTGCTACTTCATAACTGTGATTTTGCTATTGCTTTGAATCGCAATGTAAATATTAATGGAGATAGATGTTTGCCAAAGGGGTTACAAGCCACAGGTTGAGAACCAATGTTACATACAGAATGTTAGGTTTCCTTTATTTTCTTTGGCCCAAGAGTTCATAACTGCCTCCAGAATAATTTTCAAGACGCCAAGTTTAATTTCTTAAATACGGATGGTTTTATCTCTTTGAGTAGAATTAAGATACACCTCAAAAACCATCTTCTCTTTAAGCTTTCCCATCAATCAAATTTAAAAAAAAAAAAGGCTGCCTTGACATTCTCCGACAATTCTGGATCTGCACCTGCACTTCATTTCACCTTATTATAGCCGCTTGTCACTTTCTGTCCCTCAAGACCAGGGACAGTCACTTATCTTGATCTCAGCCCAAAAAAACACCTGGCACATGACATGCCTGGAACAAGAAGTCTGCTGAATGAGTAAACTAAGTCATTACTTAAGAAGTATCCATAATTACTACGAGGTGACCCAAACTTTATGGTTTTGCCCTTTATGGGCTGAGATCCTGTTTTATACTTTTTTGAATCCCTCCCTCACAGCAGTTGGCAGAGTATTAAGGACATGAAAAGTCTGCAATAAATACTTTTGGATGATGGGAGACACATTACACTTCTATCTCTCATGATTTAACTCTAAAAAAAAAAAAAAAAAAAAAAAAAAAAAACATAGTGAATGTGATTTTGGAAGGCCTTGTTAAACAGGACATTTCTTAAAAGTACTGGCAATGAATTCAACCAAATGCTAGCCCTGAACTACAGACATTTTTCTTTGGATGTCTCTCTGAAGAAAGCAGTAACAGTTTGCTTCTTCCTAAGGCATGTCTTTAAACCCAGTACTTGGGAGGCAGAGACAGAAGCAGGCAGAACTCTGAATTCAAGGCATACTGGGAGAGTATCCTTGCAAGCATGAGGTCCTGTGTTTAAACACCAGCCCTGAAAGAGGGGGAACAAAAGAGCCTGACCTAATGCCTGATATGCAGTGGGCATCAAAGAATGTTACAACTGAACACTGGTTCTGAACCTTCCTAATGTTTCGACTCTTTAATTCCTCATGTTATGCTGACCCCCAACCATAAAATTATTTTTGTTGCTACTTCATAACTGTGATTTTGCTATTGCTTTGAATCGCAATGTAAATATTAATGGAGATAGATGTTTGCCAAAGGGGTTACTTAGCAAGTTCCGGGCCAGCCAGGGCTACACAGTGTGACCCCGCTTTAAGGGAAGACTAACAACTCAGGATCTGAAAGCTCTTTGATTTGCTATGAAAAAGGCAAACACCATTAGACAAAACTCAGTTTAATAACTTTCCGCCAAGGGTTACCCTCCCTACAGTGATGGGGCTGTGGGCCAGTTGGCTGTACCACTTTACCCCTGGAAGGCGGCTCATTTTCAACAATAAAACTGCATAAGTGAACTTTTTTGGTGGAATGGGCTTCTAAAGAAAAGCCCGTTAAGTTTCACTTTTTGAATGAGATCACACTACAGGTCTTAGCTTGAGACCTCAAAAACTTGCCATCTGGGGACATTCCAGACACTTTATGGATTTAAAAACTATGCTTCCATGAAGCACAGTTATAACATCATCATATTTAAGTAATGAGGTCCAGATAATCAGTCTTCACACACTTTATGCCAAGTACAAGCAGGCAAACAGAAAACCAGCCACCAATCTGTCCTTTAGCTATGTCATTTAACAAAGACAAACCCTGACAAAGCCGAAGGTGCCGGTACACAGCTGTCCAGTAGTTCTCAACATCAGAACACACTGGTCATTTCTTGGACCCTTGCATGTGCTGAACACCGTAACAAGCGTTTCCGGCGAATTCTTTCGTTTACTATATACACTCCAATGTAATAGGTATTGCTATTTCCATTTTCCGGATAAGAACACAGAGGCCTCAGATTACCAATCTAAAACGTAGGTTAGAAAAATCTAACAGGAAAAGCCCCAGCACTCACCAATCTTGAGTATTGGTGCTTTCTTACGGAGCGGGGCGGGCAGAGGTCATCATCTGTACGTATGCACAGAGACAGAAAGAGAGAGACAGACACAGACACACATCCACACACACACACGAGAGAGAGATGGACACTACTTCTTTGGCGATCAAGTTTCAAAATCTGCAAAGCCCTGCAGACCTGGCGGCTGCTGGACCGTCTTCGGGTCCAGGTGAACCTCCCTGCCGTGAGAAGCCTGAGGATTGCACTTGGATCCTCCCGCTTTGCACAACGGCCGAGAGAAAGCGCCCGACCGGTCCCGTGCAGATTCCACACACCTCGGAGCGGCCAGGGCGGGAAGCGAAGCCGTTCCCTCCCCAGCGCAGCCCCCGAGAGGCGGTTGCACAGGTGCACGGTCGCACCCGACTGCACGGCCCGGCCGGGTGTCCAGGGCCCTGCGACCCCAGCCCCTGGGGAAAAGGAGGGACCGGAGAACCGCAGGAGCCGGTCCAGGGCTCGAAGCCCGCAGCGCCGGTCCGGTCCAGGGCGCGCACGGAGGGGTCGCCGGGAGAAAGGATGCTCGCGCGGGGCGGGGCGGGGCCGGTGGGGGAGGGGGCCCTGCCCGAACTCTCACTCACCGCCTCGTTCGCCTCCTGGCCCGGGCTCCGCGGCTCGCCCGACTCCGGTGCCAGCCGCTCGCGTCTCCTCCCGAGGCTCAAGGACCGGTCAGGGTGCACCGGGACGGGGAGAGGTCGGTGCGGGCCGAGGGAGCGCGGCGAGCGGGAACGAGGGGGTGGGGAGGGTGGGACGGTCGTTCCGGCCGCCGCGGACACCTCACACACGGCCGCCGCCGGCTCCCCTCAGCCACGGAAGCTGCGGACCCTCCCACCACGCCGGGTCCCGCCTCCGCGCCCCCGCCGGGGAGTGACGGCCGTGCCGACCAATCAGAAGCCTAGCGCCGTCGGGGCCTGCCCGGCTAAGGGGGCGTTCGCAGAGGGAAAAGGAAGGAGGAAGGCTAGGACGGCGGCGCCACGTCCTGTGACTGACAGCGCAGCGCAGCCAATCGGCAGCCGAGAGATGACTTCATCGCTGAGGGGACTCTGGAACTGGCGGAGCTGCGGCCAGGAGGTGGGAGGAGGTCAGCGATGAGCCGGGGGGGGGGGGGGGGGGCGGAGTCCGGGTCTTAAAGAGACCGTAGCCCATTTGCTCGCCCTGTCAACGGAAGGGTGACCACGGAGGTGCCCAGGGGTTCCGCGCCCAGCCGGGAACTTCTACTGTCATAATCCTGCAGCCTCCACCTAGGTCCTTCTCCTGGGTGCTCCGCGGGGGACTCCCAAGTCGATTTATTTCACACCCACATTTCCCGAAAGGAGACAATAAATCCCGCTCTGGCCTGGAGCCCTGAATTCCGTCACGTCCCCGCCCCACCGTGGCCCACCGCCTTCTTTCTCTGAGTCGGTTCTCCTGCGGCAAAAGCACTGACACCTACCTGCCTAGAATGTTGAGTAATCAACAACGAAAGTGCTTGCAGCTGGAGGAAAAGGGCTGAATGAACCCAGGGGATCTTATCCGGGGGGCTCACTCCACCAAATGAATCTGGGCGGCTCTTCCAACTGTAGAAGTCTGAACTGCTGGGGTGTAGCCAAAAACTGTGTGTGAGCGCCTGTGTGCCTGTATGTGTCTGTGTGTGTGAGAGAGACAGACAGACAGACAGACAGACACAGAGACAGAGAGTCAAAGAGACTGCCTACTGGAGAGGAGAGACAAGACAAGCAAGGCCCACCCTGTCAAATTACTAAGAGCCACTGTGGAGGCAGGCCCCTTCCTGCCCCTTTCTGGAACATTCCACCACCCCCTTTTCCCCAACAAAAGGAGAGCGCTGCAAATGAGAACTAATTCGGACTCGGTACAGCATGGTGGTTTCAGGAACGCTTTCCCTGGAGAGATACAAACAAACGTCTCCCCCTTTTAGGGCACCAAGGACTGGATAAATGGAAGAACGACCTTTGAGGAACTCCAATGAGTTTATTGGGCTTACTTAGGGCTGACACTGAAAGCAGCGGGACCACCAAAAAGCTGCACCCCAGCGTGGATGACGGAGTCCTCTTAGCAGCACACATGGAGTTACCCAGGCCTCGACCTCGCAGTGATCTGCCTGCCTCTGCCTCCCAGAGTGCTGGGATGACAGGCCTGGCAGCGCACACCCCTCTTTCAATGCAGGAACGTCAACAGTCAACAAGCCCAATCCTGAAGGTCTCCTGCAAGCAGTCAGGGCTGCTATGGTGACCATAGCTGTTATGTCTGAGGACAGTGCTGCAGGACACAAGGAAAAGGAAGGGAGGCTCTCTCCTTGAAAGTTTTGGAGAACAGAGTCAGCAAGTAGGAAGGCTTAACACTGTGGATGAAGAGACTCCCGGGGCATCCTTACAGACTTGGGAGGGCACAGCCCCCGAAAAGGGGGCAACTCATGTTACATCTCAGAGTGAATGTTCTCCCCAGGAAGTCTCCCAGACTGTTCACTGATGTGGCTCTTTCAGGCAGGGAGAAGGAGGTGCCACTCTCTCAATCCACTGCAGTAAGCCAAGCCTGCACTGAGTAATTCCCAGTTATTCATCTGTAAGTCAGCTTCGAGTTCAGCGTCATGGGTCTCATCCCAGAACCTTGGAGGTAGGCCAGATCCTGAGGCCCCTGAGTCACACCTTCCTTCCTAAAATTAAAAAAGTAAATAAATCCATGAAAGCCCTAATAAAATTTCATATTCAACAAATACATGTGCTATATAAATAAAAATAGGTAATATATTATATATATATATATATTATATGTATATATAATAAAATACAGTCTTAAGTATCCCGGGCTGTATAGTCAAGGATGACCTTGAACTCCTGACCCTCCTGCTTTCACTTTCTAGGTACTGGGATTCTAAGCATGCATCACCACACCTGGCACAACACCTACCTGCTTGGGCAATACACTGAGGGGTGAGACAGAGGCGATTCCGGGAACCACAGCCTCGGGGTACCTGCGCTAAGTGGGGAGAAGCGAAGGCAGTGCTTGAGAGACTTCCACACCGGGCTAAGTCCTGACTAACAGGTGACTCAGAGGCACCCTCAGAAGAGAAAGTCCTACAGCCTGGAATTATGGGTGTGGGGAACATTTCCCCAAGATAAGCCCAGGGCAGGCCATTCTGGATATTGTCCACAAAGACACAACTCTGGCGAAGGAGCCAAGGCAAAAAGGAAGCTAAAGTGTACGTTATGAGTTGTGCGAAGAACAATGTGCCCATTCATAGCTGTCTGCCAGGCAATCTCCTCAGACCTGACAAGCTCACCACCTCACTAATAAACCTATTCTTCTATGAGCAACTTAGATTTTTATGTTGTATATATTTTGTGTGTTTATATATGTATGTTCATATATATTCGTTCAAAATACTGCATTTTTTAATTTATATTTATTTAATGTACATGGGTGTTTGTTTGTCTCTGCACCATGATACAGTCTGGTGCCCACAGAGGCCAGCAGAGGGTTGTCAGGTCCCCTGAAACTGAAGTTATAGATGCTGTGAGCCACCATGTCCGTGCTGGGAACTGAACTCCGTCCCTTTTGGAAGAGCAGCCCATGCTCTTAACCTCTTGAGCCATCTCCCCAAGCCCCTGCTGTATGTCTTACGAATGTTCTGTTTCCCTCTAATCACCGACCTTGATCCTACCTAGTGCTATCCCTAGAAACACAGCATGGGGTGCTGGGGAGATGGTACAGGGGGTAAGACCCGCTTCTGCTCTTGAGGAGGACCTGAATTTGGTTCTTGCACCCGTGTAGGTCTGTCACTCCGGTTCCAGGGGATCTGATGCCTCTGGCCTCTCCAGGCACCTGCACACACATGCACATAAATATCCCCAACACAAACGCACATAATTGAAAATAAATTTAATTTCTTAAAGTTTTTTTATTTTTATGTGTATGGAGTTTTCCATGCCTGTATTTCTTGGTACCACAAGTGTGCTTTGTGTTCACAGAAGCCAGAAAAGGACATTGGATCCCGGGAACTGGAGATATGTATGACTGTCAGCTGCTGTGTAGGGACAGGGAGTTGAGCCTGAGTCCTCTGGAAAAGCAGATAGTGCTTTGAACCTCTGAGCCATCTCTCCAGACCATAAAAAATATTTTTTTTAGCTATACAGGATGTGTCTTATTAAACTTTCCTCTTTCCCAGTTTCAATGGAGATAGAGTCCCTTTTCCTGCTGTATTGTCCTTTAGATGACTGTTCCCTCGTGGCCTTTTCACTTCAAGGGGACATTCAGTTTGTCAGGATCTTTGGGAGACATGGATCATTTTTGTCCTTCTAGCAAACATTTCTCTCTCCTGGCAAGGGACCCTGAATTTCCTTTGGGGAAACACTCTTCCTTGCCCTCCATCCCTGTGTCGTCGTAGGAATGGCTTCATTACTCGCATTCCAAGACTGAATCTATGCTCCAGCCTGACCAACCACTGCATTGTTTATTGCTACAATCACAACCACCATCATCACCAATAACAGCAGCACCACTACCACCGCCACCGCCGCCACCACCGTCAGCACCATCAGTGCGTTTAGAAAACTCACGTGACCCAAGAGCGTCCAATCAGAATGAGTCCTGAGACTTCTGCTCACCTGCCAGAATAGCACAGAACTCCTGAGCTGTCTGGTTTTCATGTGGAGTGAATCATCAGCAGGAATCACATGGAAAATAAAGCAACATAAAAGCAAAGAGACAGATATAACTCATTGGTAGAGCACTTGCCTAGCATACCCACAGCCCTGAATTTTTACACACACACACACACACACACACACACACACACACACACACACACGAGAGAGAGGGAGAGAGAGACTGTGTGTGTTAAACAACTGAGCTAAGAATGAAGGCCACACGGGTAATGACCCTGAGAACCTAGATCTAATTACTTAATTGGCTGTCTGATTCCCAGGTGTCTTGAGTCATTAGAGTTTAGGGTGAAGTTGAGTTGGTACAGGCCTTGCCTAGTATGCATAAAGCCCTAGATTCAATCTCCAGGATGGCATAAAACCAGGCACAGGTCACATGCCTCTAATCAGAGGTTTAGGGTCATCCTTGGCTACATAGACAGTTTGAGGCCATCCTGAACTACAAAAAAACATTGGTTCAGAAAGAAAGATATATATAGAGAGAGAGAGAAAGAGAGAACATGTAAGAGAAAACTAATAACCAGAATTTATTGAAGGAGGACAAAAGGCTGAAAGGAAGGAAGTTGAGCAACACAGGAAAAGGGAAAGAGCTCAGCAAGACCTAGCTTGAGCTTGCCTTGGCCTGATCCACAGCTGGAGAGCGCCAACAGTCTGCCGCACAAGAAGCTTTTTCTGTCTCAGTTTCTCAGTCTCTGGCAGTGGGCCTTGAGGGAGCGATGGTCCCCGAGGCAGCTCTCTTTAACTGAGGGCAACAGTTGGGAATTTGGGGGTGGGGTGGGGGTGGGGACCCTTAGCAGCGGCCATTTCGCTGGGCTAGGATGATAGGAGAGTAGCCAGGCTGATTTTGCCTCCCCTCCAGAGCTGGGCTTCTACAGTTAGCAAATGTAATGAGTGAAATATCTAGGTGTGACCAGAACGCCAGAGTACTGTCTCAGCTATTACATTTCTCAGCTTTTATATTTCTGTCAGCAAAACGGGTGACTGTGCTATACTGATTTTTCAGCTCAGACCACCCTCAAAAGCAATTCTTTCCACCCACCTACCCTCCCTCCACAAACTAGTCTAATTCACTCTTTCTTATGCATTTTTTTTTGGGGGGAGGAGGCTGAAATAGAATCTCATGTAGCCCAGGCTAGCCTCAGAGTCACTGTGTAACTAAGGATGGCCTTGAACTCCTGACTCTTGCCACCATACCTCAAGTGCTGGAATTATAGGCACATACCAGCAAACCTAGTTTTCTCTCATATTTTTTCTCAACTCTTTGGTGGTGGTGGTGGTGGTGTGTGTGTGTGTGTGTGTAAGCTGGGGACTAACCCAGAACTTAGTGGCCTGATGGGCAAGTCATCCAATTAAGGGCCTACGTTCATGGTCCCTGTAATTTATTCTTCAATAAAAGTGTAGGACTTTGAGCTTAACCCTGTTAATAACCAGCAGACAAGTAACATTCTGTTAATTTTTTTTTTCTTTCTTTCTAAGACAATGTCTAGCCCTGGCTGGTCTG